TAGTCCCCTCCCCTTATTTACACCATTAACCCCCTTACCCCATAGCCAAGTCCTGAAAACAGCCTAAATGCCCACCGGTCAATGAGTGGATCAAAAAACTGTAGTACATTGACACAGTGGAATACTACGCAGCAGAAAGAAAGAAGGAACTCCTAGCCTTCGCGACAGCATGGATGGAACTGGGGAGTATTATGCTGAGTGAAATAAGTCAGTCAGTGAAAGGCGGATATCTTCCTCATAAAAGTAAATATTTCTTGGTTCCTCCAGTGTGCACTGCTCTGTCCAGGGTACACACCGCCTACACCAAATATCAGGACCATCAGGAGGGACACTTCTTCTCTTGAAAGAAGAGTTTGGTGACAGGAGTTAACCCCTAATGGGAAACACAGTGTTCTAATCTAATCATTTGAGCAGAAAATCAGCTACATTTTTAAGCTAATACGATTATTTTCAATGGAGGTCAATACTTTAATTCTCTCTCAAGGTCCCATCTGAATCCTTATCTTTTTCTTATCTTTGGCAACCATATTCTGACTTCCTTCTTCCTTGTTCTCTTAGTGAAATGACAGGCTGCACGATAAGAATGTCTCTGAGGAAAGTCTCTGTGTCTTAGACTTTTACATTTTTCATTGTGTTTGGTGGGGGTTAGTTATATTTAGGGGCCCAGTTCATACACATTGATTTGTATAAATGAGAGTACGGGGATAGACACATATTATTGGAGCCTTAGGCAGTTTTACTTTCAACATTTCTCTCATGAGTTACTATCCCAAGCAACATCCATTGCCTTTCTCCCTCTGCTACTGAGGAAAATATGGACAAGGCAATGATAATAAGGTAGAAGTCTAATGAATATGGACACCTGAGAGATTCAAAGCCTGTAATTTCCAATATTTCAAGTACTCACCTGGCACCATGCATAGTGATTACACTACTATTGACTATATTTCTTGTGCAGTGCTTTACATCCCCATGGCTATTCTGTAACTACCAATTTGTCTTTCTCAATCCCTTCTCCTCTTTCACCCAGTCCCCCAACACCCCTCCCTCTGGCAACCACGAGTGTACTCTTGCGTCTATCAGTCAGTTTCAATTTTGTTTCTTCATTTATTTTTGAACTGGATGGTCTTTAAAGCCCACCCAGCTCTCACTTGCCATGACTCTGTAGACATGGCTCCTCTCAACCCCTGACACCAGTGCAGCCACCACCATCTCAAGCAACCTGACGATTTCCACTTGACAAAGTTATTATCATTACATCTCTCAATTGCTGTTAATTATTATTAAAGGTTTATATTGGAAATAATTAAGTTGGAAGACATCATCCCCATTTTACAAATCAGAAAACTGGGCCTCAAAGAACTGAATTTACCTGAGGACATAAGGCTAGCAAGTGACAGAGTAAGGAGGGTGGAACCTAGGCTTCTGGTGTCAAGGTAACTCCTCTTTTTCTAGTAAAAGTTTACAAAGCTTTACCCTCTCATCTGGCCCTCTTTTCATCCCTCCTCAAGTCACTAATACCACTAAGTGAACATACTTATCAATTTTGCTTCTCTCATTTCATTTGATGATAGTGCCAGTATGTGAGTTTGTCATTTTGGGAGAAGGGAAAATTAAACATGGAAGGGTTGCTGATGGGGGAGCTGCCCAATCCGTAAGGGACAACCTTTAGAGGCCCTTTTGGAAACTAAATTGCTTTGCCTTTGTTTTTAACACTTTTCTTCTTCTTTGAACCAGAAAAATCTCCCACAAATTGCCCAAGCCAGTCTGATCCCCATGAATTTGGTGTCCTTCATTCAATTGCTCACAACCATAGCCAAAGAAGAGCAACTGAATTTGAAACTCTGCTATTTCCTGAATTAATTAAAATTAACTCTAACTTTTCCATGAGCATTTGGATATATTATGCAAGTCTATATATTTTTCTATAAATTAGAGGAAGTGAAAATTATTTTCATCCTTGAAATTAATTAAGACAATTAGACTATTCACAAGCTAATATCTCAAGTTTGAATTGCTCTTGCCTGCATGAATCCTTATTAAATTTTTAAAATTATTTCTTAAAAAAGCATATTTAGATGTCATTTTTGCAGTTAGGGAAGTACTTTCAGAGAAGAAAGAATTATGTTCTTTGGGCAGACCTGAGTCTCTATCTTGATTCAGTTATCAGCTCTCTAGTCTGAAATAACTCACTCCTATCTCTGGGCTTCAGTTTCCTCATTTATGAAATTAGGATTGTAGTGTCTGCCACACAGATTGCTGTAAAGATTAAAAGGGAAATGTACGGAAAGTACCCACTTTCATGTCTGGTACACAGTAGACCTTTACTTATACAGAGAATAATCTCCAAGGGCCTTTGGTTGAATTCTGTACTTTCCTGAGTTTTAGAAATTCCCCAAAAAGTAGAGTTGTTAGATATAGCCTGCAGGACTAAGGCCATGATTCTTCATGTTTAATAGTGGGAAACATGTGTTACTTCAAAAAGAAAAGGTTTTTTTCCTTTTTCTGATTGTTGTTCAATTACAGTTGTCCCAATTTTTCTCCAGTTGCTTTCCCTGGCCCCACCCCACCCACCCATCCCCCATTCCTGTTCATATTGTAGTAAGTATATCTGGCACTCAGAACTATTTTCCTATAATACAAACTGATAAAAATACAGATCTACAAAATATTTTTTGGCTGTTATATACACTGTAATTGGAAAACTTGAATGTGATGGAGTAGGTTTCTCTAGGAGATCTTTCAATGTTTTTCAAATGGGACTTTGGTTTTAAAAGATTGAGAAATACTGACTGAGTGGCATTGTCACTGTGGAGATTAGATTTCAGATTTCCCTTGTCGTCTTTTTTTTTTAACCACTTGAAAAAAAGGGAATTTAATTGCAAAACACTTGCTTAAGGTCTAAAAGTTGAGGTTCTCACAATAACAGAATTCTGAAAAAATATGATGACCCTTGGTGAAAGTTACTTGGTTCTCCTTGTGATATAGACTATATTGCTGGAAGGTTCACTCTAGTTAGATTTCCATACTATGGCCCTATTTTTTACCACTTCATGAAAACTTTTCTCAGGTGCCTTGGGACCTAGAATCAAATCGCTGTATTACTAGGAAGGAAATTAAAGAGGATCTATTCCAAGCTTTCCTCCTTATTAATTGTAGGTTAGAATATTGCAATTCAGAAAAACAAATCATCGATTTGATCAGGACCACACAGTGAGTCACCAGCAGGACTTGCACTAGAACCAAGACCTATTGGTTCTTTGTATATTAATCCATCTACTATATCACTCTGCTTATGATGCATGCATATGAACCAAACGATGAAAATGTCCTACAAAATCCTTGATCTGGACTTTTGACCATATGTTTTTAAATAAAGCATAGACTACCTGCTACGCATTGCCCTGGTTATTAAAGCTTTTAAAAAGGATGGTTTCACAGCAGACAGATCTGTTATCTTTGCTAGAGCTGTGACATACAGCTATAGATTCCTTCCTCTTAAGGCAAAAATTGACTTACCTTAGACACAACTGGTTATGAAGAGCCACCCAGAAGTATGCCAACTCTTCTGATACCTTATGCTCCACCACAGCCAGAATTTGAGTCTGCGCAACTGGAACTCAACAACTTTCCAAAATAAACCCAGAAAGGAACTACTTTTGACCAAAAAGAGAGCTGTCTTCAACAGGATGTACCACAAAGACAATTACCTTGCATGCATGACCTGATTATTTGTATACCTTAGGCCATTTCCTGCCTCTGTATATCAACATATCACCTATTTTCAGCAGTGAATAACTTTACTGTATCACAACTGCTAAGAGATAAACTCAATTAATAGAAATGGTCATGACACCCCTGCCAACAATCCATTTGAACAGCCAAAATAAAAATGTCCCGACTTGCAGGATCCTTGCTACTGAGACTACTCTTCCCCCACCCCAAAAAAGCACAATAAAGTTTGTTATCATTTTATTTAGAATGATCCTGGCAGCAACTGTTATGGCACAGTCCACATTTAAGAACTCTGCAGCTGAAAATTTCTTTTGACTAAGTCATCTTGACTCAGAATCAGAGAGGTTGCTAGGACTCAGAGTGATGACAACAATGATTACCGCGATTACTGAGAGGTGCCTCTTTTTTGGGCTCTGTTTTTGAGTAGGATTGAACTTTAGTCAAAAAAATCACCTTTCAAAAGATTGAGAAATCTTTTGAACAGACCCTGAAATCATTTTATCAGAGTTTATCAACTGAGATATTTTCTCCTTTCCTAACCCAAAATCCAACATAGCTACAAATACATTTACAGTATTCTTTTGGAGATATGGGTTGCTATAGGGGAAGGGAGCATGATTTAAAAGACACAGGTTCTAGTTCCAGCGCTGCCACTGACTAGCTAAGTTATCCTAAGTGCCTTCACTGCCTCTCAGTTTTCCCATCTGTATTGTGAGGGATTTGGATCTCTAAGAGCTTTTTCAGCCCCCAAATCTATGATCTCCAGTTCTTTCCTTCACTTTTGATAGAATTTTCTATATGTTGCTATACCTATGAAAGCTAAACTTACCAAAGCAAGGGGCTTATACATAGAAACTTTCTTTCATTATGCAGCTAGATAAATAATATAGAGCAGAAATTTAAATCCTCTTTTTCTTGCTGAATATGTCAAGTTCTCACAATAGTCCCATTGAACACACTCTTTCTTATCACTTGTGCCATACTCCTAGGCTGCTAAAGAAACAGCCCTTAGCAAACAGCGAGCTGCATCACAGGCTCCATTGCTCCTGTATTACGGTGGAAACTGATGGCATTAAGTCACACTTTGTCCTCTAGTCAGACTCAAGGGAAATCACCATCACTTTTTCTTTAAGAAGTTTGAAATGAGAAACCAGAGATCATTTTTAATTTGGACAATGGTCCCACATTTGCTGCTGTCTTGAATCTTCATGCCCCCACCAGTCTTCACAAAACCACCAATTCCCAGACACTACACTGTAACTTACCCTGGAGACTTGCCGGGTTTAGCACTCTTGTTTCTTTGCAGAGAGCTGGGGGTGAAAAAATATAACTCTGGGTCACACGGATCTTGCTGATAACTGACAAATTTGTTGTTAAAAGCGGAAGTTAACTAAATGTTGTGCCTCACCACAGAAGCCTTATTTGTAGAGAGAAGGTAAGTCCCTCAAGCAGATGACGCTAGTAAAGGTTTATTTCATCTTTACTTGATTGGTGCAAAGAAACTCAAAGAAAATGGAGCAAAAGACTGCAAAATCAAACAATGTCTTCATATCAGCCTGGCTCACTCTTCCTCACCTTATCTCCTTGTACCACAACCCACATGCCTCTCTTTCTCACTAGATTCCAGTAGGCTCCATGGCAAGATGCAATTTTGAGGCAAAATCTGAAGGGAGTTTAACCTAAGAACAAGAAAGCTCCACTTCATTCAAGCATGAGGGGCAGAGAGTGAAGAAATCTCAAGAATACAAGTCAGAACTAATAGCAGCAATGAGATAGGAGAGTAAGAAGCTAGGAAAACTTCTTTGGCAAGTGCAATAGGGAAACTGAGACTGGCCAACCAATTTAAAGCCAGGTACAGAAGGTCACCTCCCTAGCAATAACATCTAAGCCTCACCTGTGTTTCAGTTCCAGGCCCAGAAAAAACAGCAAAACTAGGTGGGCCATGTCACAACCAGCTACAATAACTAAAGAACCTCTTCCCACCACCCTGGCACTGACCAATCAGTGGAGACCACGACCCTGAAAGGACGCACCTGGAGATCTGATAAATGTTCTACTGAAACTCTCCCCCTAAGACCTCCCCTAAGATTCCCCTCTGTAAGACAGGAATAAAAGCCTAAAGACAAAGGATGCGACATGCACCCGCATGCACACTCTCCACCCAGGAAGCGGTCTGCACCATTCTCTTCTTCATTCCCCACTTCTTTCCCCATAGGCACGTGTCTCCTAAATGCTAAGGCGATGGACAGCTGCAGCTTGCCCCAGGCTGATCCCCTGACCCTGTCCACAAAGCTCCCTTTTCTGTGACTTCCCAGTGAACTGAGGCAGCCCCGTCTGGGCACTCTTGTTGCTTCTTCTCTGCTAAGCTCTTCCTTGTCTCACTGTCCCCAGATTTAATAAATGGACCCTCACAGTTGCCTGGACTTGTGTCATGAAACCTTTCCTACACAAAGCCAAGCACGTGCTCACCACAGCTGGCCCTTGGCAGACCCACTCAGGGCCAGGTCCCCTGTCTGGTAACAGCAGGACTACATTTGTTTAAGCTGTTCCCTCCATCTGGAGTGCATTTCTCTCAGCTTATCTCAAGGTTTAGAACTTAATGTGTATTTTAGTTCTTTTCACACATCTCTTACCCCCTTACTATATGACAAACTTCTTGAGGGCAAAGATCATGTCTGACTTACCTCCGTATTTCCAACCAGTGCGACCCAAGGCCCCTACATCAATGTTTGTTGAATGAATAAGTGAAGGGATGAATGAGAAAAGTAAATGTTCAAATAACGCCTGAAAAAATAAACGAACAGTGTTCATTACGGAGTCTCCCCACAGATTAGTAAGACTTCCGTCTTTATGTATAATGTCTAAGGGGATTTTATAAGTATGCAAATAAAGAAAGATCATACTGCTAGGGACTATAGTGTCAGCCAAGTCTGTAGTGTTTCTGAGAAACAAGATTTGCAAAGCAGCATGAACTTCTTGTGGCCATGCGAGGGAACCATACACAGAAACCACAGACTAGGACTGCGAAGAGCCTTCTGGCAAATTGCCATAGCAAAAGGGAGAAGGGGAAAAATTTACTTTGCATATTGTTTGTTAGGTCAAACATGAGCATTTGGATTTATTAATAAGAGTGAATAAAGAAGGAAGTGGATGACGTTTCTTGTAATAGGACAACCTGGACCTGCAACAAGCTCTCCTTATAAAACCAGCACCCTGCCCTGACTGGTGTGGCTCAGTGGGTTGAGCGATGTCCTATGAGCCGAAAGTTTGCCAGTTTAAGTCCGGTCAGGGCACATGCCTGGGTTACCAGCCAGGTCCCCGGTTGGGGGCGTATGAGAGGCAACCAATCGATCGCTGTTTCTCTCACACAGTGATGTTTCTCTCCCTCCCTTTCTCCCTCCCTTCCCCTGTCTCTAAAAATAAATAAATAAAATCTTTTTTTAAAAGCAGCACCTTTCAAGAACTAGATGGAGCCACGCCCGATACTGAACAATGTCTCCTACAAGTTTCAAGGGCATTAGGAGAGGAAAAAGAAACCTTTTTAGCACTAGAGCCTAAGAAATTGAATTGATTGATGAAAAGGCCATGACCTTGTGAGGACTGGCAAAGGGAGAGGGCACCCCTCCTGGCTGAGGTATACAAATGAAACATGCTTGACCTTGCAATCCCCTTCTTAGTTCTGATTTCATATATTTATCCAGCTCCAATCTGTTGTTAATTTAATATTTTGACTTGGCATCCCTACTTAAGGGAGAATATACTGACAGGCCAACACACATTTTAGTCCATTTGGCAGTTCTGTTCCTTACTATAAATTATTAAATCGGCTTTCTGGTACAAATCCATCCCTTGTGAGTTTGGGTAGCATGAGCCAGTTTTCCTAGGGTATGATCCTACTCTGGACAAAGAAAATTCCAGACCTGTTAAGCTTTAAAGCCAAACCGTGGGAGAGAAAGAGAAAAGGAATGCTTTCCTGACAATTAGCTATTGTCATTACCTCCCACCTTCATTTCACAGACACTTTAATATTGCTAAGAAGAAAACCTGCTTGCTTACCTCATTTCTCTGTTGCACGCAACCACCCTCTCCTTTCATTGGCCTATAAAAGGGAAGCAAAAGTAGCTCAGAAACTGGTGAACCAATTTAGGCAAAGGAAACTTCTACTCAGGTTAAGCTATGAGTTTTAATTAAAACAAAGAAAGCTGTGGACAAACAAAAAATGCTCATAATTTAACAATCATATTCAATTGACTTTTAGAAGAGAGTCTACTAATGAGTATGACTGACAGTCTAGGAATCATTATCACCTCAAACTAAGTAATAAATATCCAGCCATGAGTCTAAAAAAGTAGTACAGTTGTTGCACTTTGCCCATAGTTCTGAACTCTTTACTTCTCTCTGTATTCTCTCAAAGTTTACTTTAATTGGTGTATCATATATTACCTGGGCTGGGGCAAGTTTATAAATTGGTGCTTTAAAGGCTTTTGGGTCTTCTCTAACAGTAACAGTAGATTAGGTGTGATAGCTACTATTGAGGACATTACTCATTAAAATACATTGTTGGTTTTGGTTTTGTTTTTTTTTTTTTGGCCCTGGATGGTGTGGCTCAGTGGACTGAGTGCCAGCCTGCGAACCAAAGGGTTGCCGGTTTGACTCCCAGTCAGGACACATACCTGGGTTCCGAGCCAGGTCCCCAGTAGGGGGTATGTGAGAGGCAACCACACATGGATATTTCTTTCCCTCTCTCTCTCCCTCCCTTTCCTTCTCTATAAAAATAAAGAAATAAATAATCTTTAAAACACACTGTTTTTCTGGGGGACCCGAGAATACCACCTAATCTTAGTATTAGAGAGAACTAGATTTTTCCTTAGTAATTTGTTTAATTTGGTTCTTATGCATACTGATAATTGTATCAAGTCTTTTTTTACATGGTCTGATGAAAAGTCTGGAACTAATTTACTATATTGGCACTAAGTTTGGAGATCTTTCTATGGTGTGCTTTTTAAATTTTTTTAATTAAAATTATTGGGGTGACATTGCTTAATAAAATTATATAAGTTTCAAATGTACAATTCCATAATATATCATCTGTATATTGCTTTGTGTGTTCATTACCTAAAGTCAAGTCTCCTCCTATCACCGTTTATTCTACCTCTCCCCACCCTCCACTCCCCTTTTCCTTTTATAATCACAATAGTGTGTGTCTGTGCGTTCTTATTTGTTTGTTTGTCTTGTTTTTTGTTTGTTGCTTTCAGCTTTATGTCCCACATTCAAGTGAAATTATATGGTCCTTAACTTGTCTATCTTATTGTGCTCAGTATGTGGTACATATATACAACGGAGTACTACTCAGACATAACAAGGGATGACATAGTGTCATTTGTGACAACATGTACGGATCATGAGAATATGGCTTGGGTTTTTTTAATTATTCTACATCATGGCTCTAATTTTTTGTTCTTGACCACTTTTTCTTTATTATTTTCCACTTTACTATTTATTTGTATTATCTTGTTATAGTATGAATCCTTCCAAACCACCACCTTCAATCTTTTCTGGAGTAATAGTGGAACAAAAAAAAGTGGGGGAAAAAGAAAGAATGAATTGTGACCTCAATTCCTTTTGCATTAGAATAGTGGATATTAATTGCTTTAGATAAACTGTCTTCAGAAGTTTTCCAAATATGATTTTATATCCACAGAGTATCCCTGCACTTTGTTTGGAATTAATCATTCAATGTAGTTAAGGAGCTACAACAGTGAGAAATGCTGTTGAATGCTTAGTAGTAAGAGTGGAGTCAGAAGCATAAAATATGTCCCGTATCCTTCAAGAGTCCACTTTAAGTAACAAGTAGATCACTCATAAAATAATTAAAAAAACAAGCATAGTATATGATTTATTATTAAGTTGTGTGAAAGTTAAGAAAATGACTTCATTAGGGGCTGGGCCTTTTTGGGAAGGTTGGGTGGTCCTTGCTAAATAGACAAGTTTGGTATAAGCAGGGTTCCCAATGGGCAGAACATGTCCCACTGGAAACACGCAATGTTATTTTTGGTAGCACAAGAAATAAATTTTTAAACATTTTCAAGTTATATTTTTGTTTTAAGGCTTTAAAATGTGGTATAATTAACACTTCAAATGTTTTATTTCATGGAGACTATTACTTAGCATTAGGCTATAGTAGGCAGCTGAACTTTAAAGTGTGTTATTAAACACACACAAATAAAAGTATAGAAAATAAGCAGACAGCAAAGATTATGGAGGGCCATTTGAATATCTGAAATTTGGCATATACCAGTTTAAGGAGAGGAGAGAAGGCAAGGCTTTTCAGAAGAGAGAAATAATTTTCCTGAGGAAATGAATGAAGAGTAAATATATACTCTTTGTGTGATAGTGAGGACAAACTTTTGACTAAAGCATAGGGCATGTTAGGGAAAAAGGAAGAAGCGTGGAAGGTGGAAGCATACAAAGAAAATCTTAGAGTACAGAAACCATAGGACACAGGAAGTCTTGAAGGCTTCTAGACATAGCGGAGGACAGGAGATAAAATCTCTTGTTTATTTAGTGTTCTCTAGGTACTGGCCATACTTCTAAGCAATTTACACGCATCATCTCATTTAATCCTCAGAACAATCCCATGGAATAGAGGCTAATATTATCTTCTGTGTTACCCGTGAGTGACTCATAGCACAGAGAGGTTAACTTTCCTAAAGTCATACAAGTAAGTGGGAGAGGCACGATTCAGACAAAGTCTGTCTGTCTCCAGAGCCCAATCTGTTTTTCTACTACTCCCTGAAAAATCTCTGAGACCAAGGTATACAGAATGAATTGGAGAAGAAGCAATACAGGAGGTGGAGGGCCCTTCTGGAGAATGTACCAGTAATTTAAATTTAAGATGAAAGAGCACAGATTAAGGAAGTGATGGTAAGAATAAAGATAAAAGGTAATTTCAAAAGAATTATTTTTCTCAAAAGAGCACTTAAAACTTCAATAAGTAGACGGAAAGAGGAAATGAATCTTCACAAGTAGGAATAAGTCTTTAAGGGGTTTAATTTTGGCATATTTTTCATTATATTTTTTAATCATACACTGAAATATCTTCCTTCAATGAAAAAATACATTGTAGCTAGAAGAGGTGTTCCTTTTAGTGAACCCCAGAGGTTTGTTTTGAAGATGGTTATCAGCACAGGGCAACTTCTTAAGACCCCCTGTGAGGAACCTACAGTCCTGAAAAGGGAAATGGTTTCTTCTTACAGGATGTGAATTTCTAAAGAAATGTATTTCAGAGAATTTCCATATGAAGAGGTTTCCTTCAGCTAAACAACTGGTTGCTTGTGTATACATGCTGTGAATTAACATGAATGATGGAATCCCCCCAGTTCTTCGTGATTTATTTGGTTTTGTTACACAGTAAGTAGTTAGTTTATTATTAACAAACAAAGGGAGCAAATGGAATCAAACATTAAGTCTGATTAACTAGAAGGGACAGCTTCCAGACATTCCAGGGGCTAGCCACACTGCCCTGCCAAGGGGATTAACATCCCTTTGTTTCCCTCCCTTTATGAGAGAGTAGTGACTGGCTTTCCAATCTTTCAAAGGCCCAACCAGCTCCTTCACAAGGATTGCTGGAGTGAGGGGAAAAGAGAAAAGGGGAAAGCCCTTTGCAGGGTACATGTGCAGTAGAAGCCAGGATGGTGCAAAGGAAGATTATTCTGCTGAGGCATGTACAGCAGGAGCCAAAATGGTAAGCACGAAGGGGAGGAGTCTAGCCTGGGAAAGTCTGGAGAAAGACCAGATAAGGACACAGGCACAAAACCCCGGAAGATCCAGGAAAGATTTGGGTTAGGGGGACACCAGCACAACCCCCAGAGAATTAGGAAGAATATTGGTTATTTGAAGGAAAGCTAACTTCCCTTCCCAAGGAGATATAATCAAAGCTTAACAAAGGTCTGGAGCTCGTTTGTTTGCACTCTCTCTCTTTGTAGCAGCCTTGTGGGTTTGGCAGCTACACAGGCTGAAGTGCATGCCCATGTGCAGTGTCAGTCACAGTTTGGGTGCCATCAATCCTTGGTGGCAGAAATGAAGATGAGGAAATGAGACACAGAGAAGTTCTGCCTTTCTGGGTCCTGGCCTTCCTGGGCCTGATGGGCAAGGGCTTGGGTGTGGGTCTGTGGCCCCGGAGGCTGGACTTCTTCTGCACCAAGATGAAGCTGACCAACCTGGCTGTCCAAGACACACCAGGCACCTGGAGGTAGTCTTTGGTTTTCATTCCAATAAATCTTGCCAATATTGCTCTCATCGTCCTATGGATGAATCCCCAAAATGCTTTTCTTGCAACTCCATAGAAGAATCCTATTTACATGTCAATAATTTCTATATAGTCAAAGGTATGAACAATGAGCAAGAAGAAAAAGGATGACGAAAAGGTCTACCTTGTCTCAGTTTCTTATTTCAGGCTCTTAGCTATGAGATTTACTATCTTTGTACATATCACTAAAACTAATTGTTGGGGGAAATGGTGTGATAGAAGACTATAGTTGGGCCCTGTCTTCCTTTGTGGCCTTTTTGTTCAGCTTTCCCTCCAAGGGAAATGGTGCTTTCCTAGACCTTCTGGGTTTCTGTTGTCACAAATAATGCGATCTAGGTAAATTCTTAATACTAAGACAGGAAGGATTTAGGAACTGAGCACTGCAAACGCAACCAAACAGATTCCAAGTGTCTGTGAATTCAGGCAATGACAAAGAGCAAAAGCTTCTACAAACCAGCATTGGACAAATTAGCTATTAATCAAAGTCCTCAAATTAGCAATTCTCAAGCTTTTTTGGTCTCAGACCACTGTACACACTTAAAAATTTTGAGATGCTGAGAGCTTTCATTTATATGGGTTGTATTCATCAATATTTACCACATTAGACATTAAAAACTGATGTTTAAGAATGTTAATTTACTAACCCATTTAAAATAATAATAAACCCATTATATATTAATAATAAATAACAGATGTAATTAACTTAGAAATACACTGAGAAGGGTGATATTGTTTTACATTTTTGCCTACCTCTTAAGTGTCCTGTTTGATAGAAGATATTTGTATTCTCATA